AGCGCTGCAAGTGAGTGCTCGCCGTGTCCGGGCCCGACCTGTGGCACAAGGAGCCTGGGGCTGGTCCGTGCCACACCAACCCTGTCCTGTCTGTGGGCAGCCATGGTTACGGGGTGCTGGGGCAGCTCCTGGCAAGGCTTGTTTAGTTTCGGATCCAGTTTCTTCTTCCTGAGAAGCTGATGCTGCCAAACGAGCAGGCAGGGAGCGTCTCATGGGGAGTTCACGTGCTGCTGGTGCTGTGTGATATCTGGAGCTGCTTTGGCCCTGCAGCATCCTCGGAGGGGTGGGAGCAGGACCAGAAGGGCAACCCGGGAGTCTCCCTGACCTGTGGCACTGCCTGGCACAGAATCCCAGCATGGTGGGGTTGGAAGGGAACTCTGGAGATCATCTCATCCAACCACCCTGCTCCAGCAGGGTCACCCAGAGCAGGGTGCCCAGGATGGCATCCAGGCAGGTTTGGAACCTCTCCAGAGGAGGAATCCCTCAGGCCAACGCTCTCCTCTCTCTTTCAGCTGCAACTGCATGAATCAGCTCCTGCAGGAGTGCAGCAAGCAGGGGCTGCTTTCGGAGGCCAACATGACCAACCTGATTGAGAAACGGTACAGCCTCCTCAAAAGCCTGGGTGACCAAGAGGGGGTGTCCTCGTCTGGGTGACCAAGAGGGGGTGACCTCATCTGGGTGACCAAGAGGGGGTGACCTCCTCTTGCTTATGGGGGGAATGTAATGGAGCATCTGTGGTGCTGCTGGCTGGCCTGGAGGCGGTGCTGCTGGCTGGCCTGCAGCTGGGCCAGCGTGGCCTGCAGGGGCGAGGCTTTGGTTGCCGTGGCAGTCAGTCTGTCCTCTTGGAGTGGCAGCTGGTGGTGGCCTGGGGTGGTGGCCATCCCTCGGGGGTGCCGATGGTGGAGGTGGGGGGCAGCGAGGCCCAGTGAGGAACTCCTGCTCACTGTCCCCCTGCGGGTCCCCCAGGGATGCAGACAGAGAACACGCCCCGCACCTGAAGTCTGCCGAGAACGCCAACATCCAGCCCAACCCGGGGCTCATCCTGCGCGCCGAGCCCACCGTCACCAACATCCTGAAGGTCAGACCCCCGCGGGCAGCCAGCTCCCCGCCCCACAGCCCCCTCCTCAGGCAGCCGGGGTGGCTGGGAGCTGCCTGAGCTCCCCCTGCAGTGGGGTGGAGGAATGGAGGAGTCGCTCCCAGACTCGCTGCTCTGCCGAGGAGAGCGGGAGCTCTCCTGCTCCTGCCTGGGAAGCTGGAGGTGCTCTTGAGTGGCACGTTGTTGTCAGTGCCAGCAGCTTGAGCCCACCCAGCTCTGCCTGTCCTGCTCAGCCACTTCCCCATAAGTGTCTTCCCAGGTCTACCCCCCGTTTCCTGTGTCACTCTGGGTGCCTCAAGAGGATGTTTTGCTGCTGGTCGTGCTACCCCAGCACGCTGCAGCTCTCCCATATGCCATGCCCAGCAGTGCCTGGGGCACAGAGGGCTCCATTATCACCCCCCCAAGCCCTGCAGGTCCCTGGGAGAGCTCCATTGCCACCCCCCTAAGCCCTGCAGGTCCCTGCTCACCAAGGCCTCTTGGAACAGCTCTGGCAGCTGATCAGCTCTGCCCCGTGCTCAGAGCTCACATTTGCTGCTCACATTCCCTGTGACTTCTCTTTTTGGTTTTTTTTCAGACTATGGATGCAGATCATTCCAAGTCCCCCGAGGGTTTGCTGGGGGTCTTGGGTCACATGCTGTCTGGGAAGAGCCTGGACTTGCTGTTGGCAGCAGCAGCAGCAACAGGCAAGCTGAAATCCTTTGCTCAGAAGTTCATCAAGTGAGTATCCACCTGGGTGACACTGTCTGTGGTGACCAGCAGGGCTGGGGTGACAGGGCAGCCCCCCAAACTCTCCCCCAGACAGGGCTGGGTGTGCCTCTGGTCAGTGTCTGCGCAGCACTGGATCCAGCAGAGCCCTGGGGAAGGCTTGGGGTTGTTCAGCCTGGAGAAGAGAAGGCTTCTTGTGGCCTTCCAGCAAAGGGGCCTGTCAGAAAGACTGGGGCAGAATTTTTAGTAGGGCCTGTTGGGGCAGGACAAGGGGTGGTGGTTTTAAACTAAAAGAGGGAGACTTAAACTAGATTGAGATTTTTTACAGTGAGGGTGGTGAGAGCCTGTCCTAGGCTGCCCAGAGAGGTGGTTGCTGCCCCATCCCTGGCACCATCCCAGGGGAGGTTGGCTGGGGCTCTGAGCACCCTGCTCTAGCTGGGGGTGTCCCTGCTCCCTGCAGGGGGGGCGTTGGACAAGGTGAGTTTCAATGATATCATCCCACCCAACCCCATCTGGAATTCAGTGATTTTGGGGAACCACACCCCACAGCCCCCATCTCTTCTGTGTGGACAGGGCAGAGGGTCAAACTTGGGTTGGTTTAAGGGTATGAAGGGAGCTGAAAGCACCAAGACAGCCTCAGGCCCAGGGCGCTCGCTGCGTGTGCACCTGCAGCCCCCAGACCCTGTGTCCTGCCTGGAGCACACGCCCCGGCATGCGTGGGGCTGCAGGCAGGGGCAGCCCCCGTGGTCTGAGGGGGTGGGGCGGCCCCCCCTGCCTGTCTCGGGGCTGGGAGGGGACCTGTGTGAGGTGGGGTGATGCTTCCCTGCTGCTCTCTCCTCTCTCCAGGCTGAACGAGTTCACGAAGCGCATCGACGGAGAAGTCTGTAAGTGTGGGCACGTCCTGCAGGGCCCCCCCACTGCCCCCACGTGTGTGCCCGTCCCAAATGGGATGTTTCACACTCGCAGGGGGTGAGCTCCTCATCCCCAGGCAGCCCCGGGGCCCCTCGGGAGGGTTCCC